ATGAATCTCCTGATTCAGCCTCCCCAGTCGCTGAGATCACAGGTGTGTGCCACCGCACCTTGGCTGAAATCTTGATTTTTTTTTTTTTTTTTAAACCAAATGTGTCGTAGGTGGGAGGCGAGGAGGGAGGGGGAGTGCTGGGGAGCCATATTGGCAAAATTTCATTGCTATTGGGTGCATGTTGAATGTGTCACAATGAATCCCATCATTACAGCTAGGATGCACTAACAAAAAATTTGGAAAGAGAAGAAAAAAAAAAAACAAGCAGGTGTCAATTGTCTACCAAGGAAATAGGCTCAGGTGTGACATCTCTTTTCTCTTCTTAAAACTCAACTCCTGGGGCTGGGGATGTGGCTCAAGTGGTAGTGCGCTTGCCTGGCATGCGTGGGGCCCGGGTTCGATCCTCAGCATCACATACAGACAAAGATGTTGTGTCCGCCGAGAACTAAAAAATATTAAAAAAATTCTCTCTCTCTCTCTCTCTCTCTCTCTCTCACTCTCTCTTAAAAAAAAAAAAAAATACTCAACTCCTGGGGACAGAGCTGAGGACACAGGGCACAAAGACAGGAAAGGGAGGGACTGGGAGAATAGAATTCAGCCCAGGATGAGGCTCCTTCTGGACTCTGTGTCCAGCCCCTGGAGGCAGCGGGGATGCAGGAGGCGGGGGACTGCCATCTGCCCGGCAAGGCACCCGACTCTCGGACCCTTAGTCTCCTCATCCATGCAACAGGCAGGGCAGCCCTTAGGAGAGCAGGTGAGGATCAGATGGAACAGGGCTGTCACATCACCTGGTGACAACGAACACCCAATATGCCTGTCCCCGGGCCGTCACATTCTTAGAAAAAAATGCATGAATTATGTTGAGTTAGTGACCAGCGGAGCCCAGGGGCTTTGGGCACAGAAGGTCATCAATAAGAGCTGACTGCCACTGTCCTGTCCTTGAACCACCTGACCACTTTGAAAAGGTGGCTGGAAAAGGGAGGGGGTGAAGGCGGGTTCCCTGGGGGAAAAGGCCAACCACTGTGAGCGGCTGTGGCCAGCTGCACGTGAGGAGGTTGTCCCCAGGGTCAGGAGTCACTAAGAGGGCGGGCTTTCCAGGGACCTTGGGCTCAGGTAGACCACAGGTTCCCTGGGGACCCTCCTGCGAGAGCCCTCTCCTCTGCCCGGTGCCCAGGCGGTAGAGTCCTGCCCCTGGGTTTGTCCACGGTGGGGCTGGGATCCAGCTGTCCTTCCATTGTCCCCAGGCACCCCCACCCACCCTAGCTGTCACTGGGCAGTCTTGGTGGCCCCAGGAAGCCCCGGGCCCCGGGCTGGGTAGAGGAGCTGGGCTTGGGGGCCGGGTCTCTCCTCCGTGAGGACGGCACCCCAGGTCCCCAGCAGCAGCGTGACACACTGGTCTCTTCTATAAAGGCAGCCAGCGCCTGGTGTGCACGAGGGGGTGGCCCTAAGCAGGAGCCCCCGGGGCCCAGGGGCCTGGAGAGTAGGGCAGGGCAGGGGGTGGCCGAGGGGCTATGCGGCAGGAGACAGTGCCCTGCAAACGCACCCTGAGCCCTCGGGGTGCTTGCTGTCCACCACCCACCCCACCTTCCCCTCTTCTCCCTCCCACCCACCCACCTGCGAGGGGGAGCTTCAGGGAGGGACAGCCACCACAGAGTCGAGCTCTGATTGCAGGAGACCAGAGGTGGTGGTGGCCGCAGAGCCTGTGGGTGGAACAGGGCTGCAGGGTGACCGGGACCAGAGGGCGCACACCTTGCCACCCAGAAGGAGCTTGCGTTTTGTTCTGGGTGAGCCGCTGGAGGTTTGAACCCGGGGCACCTGACCGCTGAGCCACATCCCCAGCCACCTCCTCCCTTTTTGTATCTTATTTAGACACAGGGCCTCGCCAAGTTGAGGCTGGCTTTGAACTAGAGATCCTCCTGCCTCAGCCTCCTGAGCTGTTGGGATTAGGGGCGGGTGCCACTGTGCTGGCTGCTAGAGGTCTTAAAGGAGCAGAGTGGGGTGTGGCCCTTGACACTTTACAAAGACCCCAGGGGGCAGTGGGAGGATGTGGGGAGGAAGCAGGGAAGGCTGGGGTGACCCCGCCCTCCCTCAAGGATAGTCCTGTTTCCAGGTAGGTAAGAAGACCCTCGGGCTCTAGGGACCCTGGAGGGACTCTGGGGAGGCAGGTGGCCAGCTCAGCAGCCACAGAACCCGGTGATCAGGTGAAACAAGGAAGGTCCTGGGCCTATGAAGCAGGGTCCTATGAAGTCTGTTGTGGCCTGTTCTGTGACTATAACAAAACACCCGAGACTGGATGATGTATAAATAACAGCAGATCACAGCCAGGCGTGATGGTGCATGTCTGTAATCCCGGCAACTTAGAAGGCTGAGGCAGGGGATCACAAGTTTGAGGCCAGTTTCAGCAATTTAGCAAAACCCTCAGCAACTTAGCGAGACCCTGTCTTCAAATAAATTAAACTTAAAAAGGGACGCATCCCAGTGGAGGAGCATTTGCCCAGCATGAAGCCCTGGGTTCAGTCCCCAGTACAGGAAGATAGATACGCACAGAACACAAGGGTTTGGGCTCATGGTTCTGGGGGCCAAGAGGTCTAGAACCTGGCGCTGCCCTCTGCCGAACCCAGGGCTTTGCGCCTTCGAGGTCAGCGCTCAGCCACGGAGGCCCCCCCAGTGCTCGCTGGGACTTCCTTGCTGCGCTGTAACTGGCACAGGGTGTCACTGGGCAGGACAGAGCAAACACACTGGGCTGGGATCTCTTCCTCTTCTTATAGCCGCTAATGACGTTCTGGGGCCACCCTCAGGACCTCATCTAATCCTAGTGACCTCCAAATAACATTAGCGCTTGACTTTGGGGTTCAATTCCCTACACGTGAAATTCTGGGGACACATTCAGACCATGGCCAAGGCCCTTGAAAGAGCTTAGTGCGCTCCTCCGGCTGGGGGCCCCGAGCTGCGACCTCAGAAGCATCCTAACGGCGGACATTCCGGGTGCCGGGGGAGAACTCGCTGCAGAGAGGCTGCAGACCCAGGGGGGTTTTGATTTGCACAGAGATGGAGCACACCTGTCCAGTCCCTGGGGGTGGCTCCTAGGGTGTCAACTGCCAGCATCCTTCTTCCTACCGTAAGCTTCAGTCATGGGAGGACAGACACTGGCTTCCCCGGAGACCCGTCCTCCCTGGAGCAAGGGGAGTGTGCTCCCCAGACACAGTCAGGACGGCTGGACGCTCTCTGGCTGAGTCCTTGTCCATCCACCCTTCCACTGCTCTCTTGGACAGGAGGCCTAGTTGCGGGCCATTCAGAATCCTCCCTGGAGGGAAGGCAGATATCTGCATCTTTAATTGAAAAAAAAATCTTCCCAACTGCATCAGAAAAAGATGCTTTCAGCTCTCGTTCACAGATGAAGAAACTGAGGGTCTAAGTGACCTGCCACTCAGCTTATAGATGACAGAGCCTGGACTTGTCATTGACCCACTTGATGCCCAAAGCTCCCTCTATCTGCTCTGAAGGAGGCCATCTGGGAGGGGCCGGGTGACAGGAGTCACTGAGGTGTGGATCTGTTTGTTCTCTAGGAGGAAAAGAGGAAAGGAGATAGCACCCAGGACCAAAGTCCCCCAACAGCAGGTGGCCGGGGGCGAGAGTTCCCAGAAGCCACAAGACCCACTTCTCCATCAATCTTAGCAAATAAGCTGCCTCAGGTCCTTGACACCAAAGGGGTTTGATTTTTTATTAAATCAGAAGAAAAAAAATGAAATTTGGGGTTGAAAAAATGTTGATGTATAATATTGATGAGTTCATTCAATGGTTCTATAAAGTAGGATCATATGTGTGCATACAGACGTGGGTGTGCATCACGCACATGTGTGTAGGTAGAGGACCGGGAAGGCAGGGGGGACCCAGGAGCTGGGGAGTCACACGGGGTCTGGGGACTGTAAGGAGAACCTTCCCCCAGGCCTCGGGCTTGGACACAGCTTCCAGATGCCAGTGAGAGGCTGCCCCACAGCCTCCATAGACGAGGCTCTGTGCTCCCGATCATAATCTTAAATAACACCTGATAAGTATTAATGATTATTTCCTTTTATCCTCTCAACACTGTTCTTTCATTTTACAGAAAAGGAAAACTGAACTCAGAGAGGTTAACTAACTTGGCCTGAGGTCACACAGCAAGGAAGTGGTAGAAACAAGATTTCTCATAGGACATTGGAGGACCCTTTCTTGCCCCAGGGTCCTGGGAAGCCTGAGGCCTTCCACCAAGGGGGATCAGTGGTTTTCTAGTTATTTCCCTGCCCCAGCTATCTGCCCCCAGGCTTGGTCTCTTCAAGACTGGGCTGGATTTTGTACTTTCCTTCTATGGATGCCCTCAATCCTGATTAAAGTCATGCATGTGCTTGTGTTTACAGTAGGGGGACCCTTGAGGACAGCTGGGTGATGTCCTCCCTGCCGGCCCCTGTCCCTGCTCATCTAGGGCAGCTTAGGAAGAGAGCATCACTGAGTCCTAGGAACCTGCTTCTGTAGCCATTTTAGTCCCCACGGTACAGTGACAGCGACCCAAGCAGCATGGCCAGAGGGGGCATTCGAAGATCGTGATTCTGCAAAAAGACTCCTGTTTCTCCGTAGCATCCTTTCCTTAGCCGATCCTCCTCCCAGTGGTGATGATGATGATGGATGTTATTTTTGTTATTCAGTAAGTCGTTGATACGTGTGTGTTCGGCACTTTTTGAGCACGAAGAACAACTTTTTGGCCATTGGACTGATTCAAGGATGATATTTAGAACAGTGAGCAGAACGTCTCAAAGCCTCTCACAAGTGGCCACGGTGGCATTCCTAGGAAAACTGATAGCCCTGAAGTGGATTTGTTAGTAAAAAGAAAGGTGAAGAATTAATGCATTAAGCATTCAATCTCAAGACACCAGGAATCATAAAATAAAAGTTAAAGGAAAAAGTCAGTCAACACAAAGGAAGAAAATAACGAAGAAAGCAAAACCAAGAGATGATTCTTTGACACGATGAATATCACAGAACGTCAGGACACGTAAGAGCTGCGATTCTTTGGTGAGGAGCCTTCCCGTCGTCCCTCCTGACAGACTTTCAGCAGGGACCCCCTGGCACAGTACTAGTCACCGTTGCTGTGGAACAACCGACCCCCAAACTTCGACACTAAATAAGAACAACATTTCTCACATTTCCCGTGGGTCCGAAAGCTGGATGGCCTTTAGTTGGGTGTCTCTGGTTCAGGGCCACAGCAGAGTGTCAGCCATAAGGTCACCTCAGGGCTCGGTGGTGTACGATCAATGCCAAGTTCACTACACAGCCGCTGGCAAGCCCCGGTCTCCACTGGAGGTTGGCTGGAAGCATCAGGCGTAGGGGCCTCTTCACGGCTTCACGGCCACCAGCCCAGAGCAGGGCAGAGAGAGGCCACCTGCCTCAGTCCATTTTCTGTTGCTGTGTCAGGGTACCCCAGGCTGGGACAACGACGAGCAGATGGGCAAGTGGGCACCGTGCGGGGACAGATGGCCGAACCCGTCTTTCCCAGCATTTATATATATTTTTTTGTACCAAGATACAAAAAACTGAGCCATATCCTCAGCCCTTTTTAATTTTTATTTTGAGACAGGGTCTCACTAAGTTTCTTAGGGCCTCACTAAGTTGCTGAAGCAGGCCTTGAATTTGCCATCCTCCTGCCTCGGCCTCCCTAGCTACTGGGATGACAGGCGTGCATTTTTTGGTGCTGCTGAGAGTTGAACCCAGGGTCTTGGGCATGCTGGCCAAGCCACATGGCCAGCCCCAGATTCATCCTGGAATCAGCCACCTACTCCTGCAATAACAGCAATACCCCATCACCTCTTTTTTTGGGGGGCGGGAGGGTACTGAGGATTGAGCCCAGGGGCTCTTAACCACTGAGCCACAACCCTGCCCTTTTTCTGTTTTCGATTTTAAATGGCTGAGGCTGGCCTTGAACTCCCGATCCTCCTGCCTCAGCCTCCTGAGTCACTGGGGTCACAGGTGTGCGCGCTGTGCCCTGCACATCTCTCTCTTTTTTCTTTGGGTGTCTTTCTTATGCCTGTGGTGGCACAGGGCCGACCTCTCAGTCCTCTCCAGTGGCAATTCAATTTCAACATGAGTTTTGACGGGAACATCCAAGCCCCACGCTGACCTCAGAAGTGACATCTGTCACTTGTGCCGTCTGCTAGGATTCTTTTAGTGAGAATCAAGTCATGGCCCCACCTGCACTCTCGGGGAGTGGGTCACCAGAGGTGTGTCTAGGAAGACACGGCCACCACAGGGAGGGGTGGAGGTCACCATCCTGAAGTTCAGGGCTCCCCTTGCTCAGCAAAAGCAGCGTCTGGGTGGTCCCAGGAGGAAGGACTGGGGGCCGCCACTGTCTGCCCCTGTGGGTCCGGGGCCTTCAGTTCCCACTGGGAAGCGGGAAGACAACCAAGATCCCCTGAGAATCTCGTGTGAATCTCCTGGGACAAGGGCTGGACAAGGTGCTGGGCTGGGTGGACACCAGCCTTCCAAAGCTGCCACTTAAGCCGGGCACAGGGGCACATGCCCAAGATCCCAGCCTCTGGGAGACTGAGGCAGGAGGATCCGGAGTTCAAAGCCAGCCTCAGCAACTCAGCAAGGCCCTAAGCAACTCCCGAGCCCCTGTCACTAAATAAAATATTTTAAAAAGGGGGAGCCAGGCACGGAGGTGATTGCCCCTAATCCCAGCGGCTCCAGAGGCTGAGGCTGGAGGATCCAAGGTTCAAGGCCAGCCTCAGCAAAAGTGAGGCCCTAAGCAACTCAATGAGACTACAAAATAGGGCTGGGGATGTGGCTCAGTGGTCGAGTGCCCCTGAGTTCAATCCCCAGTACAAATAAAAAAGAAGTTACCAATTAAGAGGACTGGATGGGAGGGGCGGGGGCCAGGGATTTTGATGCTCTTCCTCTTATAGTTTTTCCTTTGAAAAAAAAAATTTTTTTCATTGATGTGAAATATACACCCAGAGAAGCACACGAACAGCCAGCATGGTCAGCTTCCTGGGTCTTTAAAGATTTCCTCTTTTCTGGCTGGGGACGGTGCCCAGGGCCTTGCACACAGGCCGTAACTCTGCCCCGAGTCACTCCCCCACACCGGGGCGTTCTTTCCAAATAAGTGAACTTTAAGATTTTTTTTTTCAACTTTGTACAGTTTCCCAAACCTGGTGCGGCGCTCGCATTACTATTATAATCCAAAAAATGCCAGTTTCTGTTGAGGGCGGTTCCGCCCGGGAGCACTTTGAAACTCCTTATCTTGTTTGGCTCTGGCCCCGGGAGAAGGGCCCAGAAAGGATCAACTTCCTTGTGGGCGAGAGAAGGAAACACCCCCGTCTTGGGCTGGCAGGGAATGAGGCGGTGTCCCCTGTGAGCACTGGGCAGAGAGCCACCCACCGCTCCTGGCACCAGACTCCCCTTCACAGGGCCGGGCTCCCAGCACCCGGCAGAGTGGCTCCCGCCACTCCCAAGGAACACGTCGGGCCACCAAATCCAGAGCTCGAGAAACGCTCTCCCTCCATGTGTCAGGGTGCAGACCAACCCTGTGTGCGCGTTGACGTCATGTAGCATATTTTTAAAAATTTAATTCAATTTCTTTTTAGTATTGGGGATTGAACTCAGGTGCACTGGACCATGGAGCCACGTCCCCAACCCTATTTTGTATTTTATTTAGAGACAGGGTCTCGCTGAGCTGCTTAGGGCCTCACTTTTGCTGAGGCTGGCTTTGAACTCTCCATCCTCCTCCCTCAGCCTCCCGAGCTGCTGGGATGACAGGTGTGTGCGCCTCTGCCCGGCTGTGGCAGTATTTTAAATAGTGAGAATTTAGAATTAATGTAGATGCCCCACAGAAGGGAATTGATTCAGTAAATGGAGCCATTGAAAGTCAGAATATCTCCCAGTCATTGAGATATAGTTCTGGAATGCAGATTGTGGGTTTTAACGTTTCCTGAGTGAAGTGGAGGGATAGTCGCGCAGGCAGGGGAGGCCCACAATAAAACACACGGCAAACCACTGGCAAGGAAATGGGTCGAGGCAGTGAGCAGGGCCCGCTTCCTCCTGGTGGTGGGAGAGTCCGGGCTGTTTTTCTTCTTATTTAACGTCTCTGTCTACATTAAGCGCGTCGGTTACTAAGAAATAGAAACAAAGGGCAGAGCGTTCCAACCTGCCGCACCTCCCAAGCCTCCTGCTTTCTTCTTGGCTTTTATTTCTTATTTTTTTGGTACCAGGTGTTGAACCAGGGGCGCATGGTCACTGACCTACAGACACCCCAGCTCTTTTTATATTCTGTTCTGAGACAGGGCCTCGCTAAGTTGCTTAGGGCCTAAGTTGCTGAGGCTGGCCTCAAACTTGCAATCCTCCTGCCTCAGCCTCCTGAGCCGCTAGGATTAGGGGTAGGCACCACCCCGCCTGGCCTCCTTCTCCACTCTTAAGAGTGGTCGATACTTTGGAACGTTTTCTTTGGATTTACCACGTATTGCTTTCAAAACTTCCCATACACAAACAGAAAAATAATCAGGGGAGAAGAGAATAAAAAAGATGCTCCAAGTGAATCATGACATCAGAGAAAATGAGCAGCTCGGGCCGTTTTTATAGGCAAGTCGCTCTCTCTGTGGCCCAGGAAGCCGGCTCAGTCGGGGAGGCTGGTGGCCTGCCAAGCCCGGGGTGTTTGTGGTTTGTGCGGGGCCAGAGCTGGGGCCGCTTCCCAAAGGGCCCTGGGAGCACCCAAGAGGGGCGGCTGAGCTGGAGGGAGGTGGGTGGGGCGGGGAGCCTTCCTGGCTCTGCTTTGGGTGCCTGGAGGGACAGGCAGGGGGCTACTTGGGTACATGGGGCCAAAGTCCTCATTTATGGCCTTGGGGCAGTTAATGTGTGATATTCTGGGATATAAAGGTCGACCACGGGGTGGGAACCTGAGCTCAGCGACTGGGAACTGCTGGGAGCTGTCACCAAGAAAGGCCACCATGTCGGTGAGGATGCCGGCCCCCTGCGGCCCACTCCCTCCATGTCTTTGCCTGGGTGGGCTGGGGAGGGTGCTCTGGAGTTCAGTGTCGCTGCGGTTTCCCCTCCACCTGGCAAAGAGGTTGGCCAGACGGTCTCCCCAGCCTCCTCCCAGGCACCCTGATCCCTCGGCCACCGCCCTACCTGGGAGCCTGGGCCTGTGTCCCCTCTCTTGCCTCAGCTACCTCATCAGTAATGATGATGATGATGATGATGATGATGATGACCGCTACCATCCATTGAGCTTTAGAAAGATGAACAAGCTGAGGTTCGGGGCTGAGGCTGTAACTCACCGTGGGGTGTGGGGGGCTCAGTGGACCCCATCACCAGCACCCAGACAAACAAGAAAACCGAAAACCGAGGCTCTGGGATCTAATTGGCCAAGGTCACAACCTGCGAGTTGTGGGGGATTGGGTGGGTCTTCTTGCAGGCTCTTGATTGGCCTTGGACCCGTTTCTGACCCTCTCTGAGCCTCAGTCTCCCTGATCTGTGGGATGGAATCCGATGGCACCCTCTGGGGATTAGATGGCATATTCGTTTCCTGGGGCCGCTGGGACCAAGTACCACAAAAAGGAGGGGGGGGTGCTTCAGAATATTCATTCTCTCAAGTTCTACAGATGTCTGATATCAGGTGTGGGCCCGCCACGCTCTCCGCGGGCTCTGGGCGAGCGTCCCATCGTCTCTTTCAATTTCCGGTGGCGGCTGGCGATCCTTGGCCTGCAGCTGCATTACTGAGTGATGCCCTACCTCACACAGTGTCCCTCTGTGTCCAGATATCCCTCCTCTGACAAGGACATCAGTGACACTGGGTTTTGTGGCCACCCTACTCCAGTATGACCTCATCTTTTTTTTTGGTTTTTGGTACTGGGGACCACACCCCCTGCCCTTTTAAAAAATATTTTATTTAGAGACAGGGTCTTGCTGAACTGCTTAGGGCCTCACTAAGTTGCGAGGCTGGCTTTGAACCTGCGATCCTTTTGCCTCAGTCTCCTGAGCTGTTGGAATCACAGGTGTGCCGCCATGCCTGTTTGTTATTGATTGATTGACTGATACTATAGTATGCTTTTATTTTATTTGTTTATTTTTTTATGTGGTGCTGAAGATAGAACCCAGTGCCTCACACATGCGAGGCAAGTGCTCTGCCACTGAGTTACAGCCCCAGCCCCCAACTTTTTATTTTTTATTTAGACATAGGGTCTCGCTAACTTTCTTAGGGCCTTGCTAAACTTCTGAGGCTGGCCTCAAGTTTACGATCCTCCTGCCTCAGCCTCTGGAGTTGCTGAGATGGTAGGCTTTCCCCACTGCGCCTGGTTCAACCCCATCTTGATTACAGCCACAAAGACCCTACTCCAAACAGGTGGCCTTTGCAGGTTCCAGGTGGATATGAGTTGTGGCAGGACACTGTCCAAGCCAGTATCAGTGCCATGCAGGACATGAACCTGACCAGGGTCCCTGGCTGAAGACCAGTGCTGTGCTGTCCTTGCCTGTGTCTCTGGGAGAGGCTTTTGCCTTCGTGGCTGGCTCCTGGCAGCTGGTGTCAGGTGTGTCTGCACAGCCAACGTCTGAGTGACTCTGTGGCCGTGCACTTGGGTTCCTCTCTCATCTGGGAGGGACGGTGCTCTCCTCACTTACCTTCTCTCCCAGGGATGACCACCTCTGTCTGTCAGTGAGAGGCCGAGAGAGAACCTGCATCCAGTCCGTGGCCCCAAAGCCTGGATGTGGCTACTGCATTAAGCAAGGTTCTGCTTGGTGGCCCAGCCTGTAATCCCAGCACCTCGGGAGGCTGAGGCAGGAGGATCACAAGTTCCGGGCCAGCCTCAGCCACTTAGCAAGGCCCTATGTTGAGACAAGATCTCCCCAACTTTGGGAGATCTTGTCGCAACATAAAAAATAAAAAAGGGCTTGGGTTCGATCCCTGGTACAAATTTTTTTTTTGAAAAAACAAAAAGCTGTTATTAAGCCTGAATCTGAGGACTTAAGCCTCCGCCTCCAAACCCCACTGTTCCTAAAGCAGGGAAATGTTGCCCCCAGGGGACACTGGGCATTGTCTGGAGCCATTTCTGATTGTCACAGCTGGGGGAAGGCGGCTCCTGGCATCTGGTGGTCAGGGAGGCTGCCCAGCGCCATACAGTCACAACCCAAGAGTCTCACCCAGCGGGTCCAGCTGTCCCAGCGCCCACCAGGATGGCTCCATGCTCCTGGGCTCAGCCTTCCTCTGGGGGTAGGCTGGGGTGCGCGTCTCCCCTGCTCCTCCTCCGTGGGGCGAGCTCCCACCAAGCTCTGCCCTGGGTGCTACGTCTTTGGTGCCTGTCCAGCCCCTCCCTGCGGCTCCCATCAGGGACATGTAGATGGACATTTTCTGAGTCTTGGGTATTGAGCTTTGGAAGCCTGGGTTTGAGGACCTCCCATTAACCATCAAGAGATGGACGAAGCCATCAGAGTGTAGATGTCCCAGGGCCCCGTGGAAAAGGAGATGCCAAATAAGGAGTGAGTGACCATGACAGTGGCCCCTGAATCTGCCTGCACGTGGGCCAGGCTCTATGCTTGGGGAAGGAAGCCCAACCTCGGCTACCAGCTTGAAGGTGGCCGCCGTTACCCGCCAGGCCTGGCAGCATCCGTCACAGGGCACTTAGCAACTTTCTTCTTTTCTTTTGCTGGGATCAAACCCAGGGCCCTGGGCTTGCTAGGTGAGCTCCGCCTGCAAGGGCTCTTTAATAAAAATACCCCCGCAGCCTGCTCCACAGATGGGGGAAGAAGGTCTGGAGCGGCCTTTGATGGACCCACTCAGACAGAGGACTTGGAAGGTTTTGTAGGTTCCCAATGGGGGTGGGGTAAGGCCGGCTGGCTGCTGACACAGTCCTGCTCTGCATCATCTCCGTGTCCCCGGGTTCCCACGGGCTAACCGAGGCTTCCCTGCTGGGCCTCAGCGGCTCCCTAGTCGGGCTGGGTGGAGGGCAAAGGAGAGAGGGCCTCTGGGAAGCCTGGATCCCACCGTCTCCCCTTGCAGCCCCGGGCTCTCTCGTGGGCAGGGGGATAACGGGTCCACTGGATGGGAAGTTGGTGGCGTCACCAGCAGAGGGGGCTGTGGAGGGTCTCCGAGTTCTTCATGGAGTGCTTCTCCCCGGGCCCAGGGAGAACTGGAGATGACAAAACTGGACTTGAAACCGGGGACAACCTTGAAGATCAAGGGCAGGATCGCGGATGAAGCTGACGGGTGAGCGAGGTGGGGGGAGCGGGAACAGGCAGAGAAGGGGTGTGGGGGGGTGGCAGGCCGGACAGCCCCGGGCGTGGTCAGCGCAGGGTGACTTCAAGCCTAGGGGTCTTTTTGACACCCTTGCTCCCTCCCACACTCCTGGGTCAGGACCTGCCTTCACATCCGAGCATCCACGTGCTGTTCCCTGGCCCCAGCAGCCACTGAGGGGGCAGGGGGAGAAGCCCTAGGGCTCCCCCAGCCCCCTGGCCTCCGTGCCTGTGTGGAGGGCCAACCCCCAGGGTCGCGGCTCTGTTAACCCAGCCCGAAGGACCCCAACCGGCCTTTCCCGAGCCCCTGGAGACGGCCACCAGGGGGCGCCACCGGCCCACCTCCCCCACCACCTGCTCCAGGCTCTCAAGCCCGCAGGATGACACTGGCATTTCTTTCTTTCTTTTCTGATACCAGGCGTTGAACCCCAGCCCTTTTCATTTTGAGATCGTTTCATCAAGTCGCTTAGGGCCTCGCAAAGTGGCTGAGGCTGGCCTCCAACTTGCGATTGTCCTGCCTCAGCCTCCTGGGTTGCCGGGATTACAAGCGTGTGCCTGGCTAACTTGGGCATTTCTTGGCCTGAACTTTGCCCCCTTGGGCTGGGAAGGTGGTGGGCAGATGTGTGAACTAGGAGCCCTAGAGATAAAGGAGTCCTTTCTCCTGCCTCATCACTCAAGTTTGCAGAAACGCAGGCCTGAGACATGCCTCCCCGATGAAGAAGCCCACCACCCAGGATGCCCATTCTCGGGCTCCCCAAAGGTCTAACCCGGGCTCCCGTAGTGATCCTGCCAAGATCAGCCCCTGGTGGCATACCTTTACTGACAGGGAGCTCATCCCTGTAGGTCGACTGATCTTTGTGGTCAACCTTAATGTCTTCAGAGATCTAAGGACAGCAGCTCTCTCCCCATGACAGACACCCCTGATTTCTCAACCGTCACCATCAGCTACTGCCCCAGCAGCCTTGGTCTCTGCTCCGAATGGAACATGTCACAGAGCACCGAGGCTGACTCCCTCATTCTAGCGCCCAGATCTCACTGCCAAGCCGGAAGCAGCTTGTGGTAGCTGACCTGACCCAAGCTACCTTACCTGGGGCTGCCCCTAGATGCCACCTGTCACCCTCCCCTGCAGCTTTGTGATTAACCTGGGCCATGGGACAGATAAGCTGGGCCTGCATTTTAACCCACGCTTCAAGGAATCCACCATCGTCTGCAACACCCGGGACGGCAACTGGGGGAAAGAGCATCGGGACAGTCACTTGTGCTTCAGCCCCGGGTCAGAGACCAAGGTGAGGCCAAGGGACAGCAGGAGGAGGGGAGCCCTGGCCCATTTCCAGGGAGCCTCCTGCTCCCTGACACCTTCCCTCCCCTGCAGGTGACCGTGGCCTTTCACAGTGATGAGTTCAAGGTGGAGCTCCCAGATGGGTACGAGTTGACCTTTCCCAACCGGCTGGGCTACAGCCACCTGAGCTACCTGTGTGTGAAGGGGGGGCTCCAGGTCTCCTCTCTCAAGCTCAACTGAGCGGCAGCAGTTACCGGAAGAATTTAGCTCTCAACCCTGGTCCCCGACCCTCGCCCTTCACAGCCTTGGGTCCTGGATCCACCCCCAACCCTTGACCCAGGTGTTTCCTGTTCCTGCTCCTCGGATATCGCATTTTCCTCCCTCGAAGCCCAGAGCAAACAAATAAACACCAAAAACCCACCTCCTGGAGCCTGTGGGGGGCACTCCCGTGTTTTAATACTCCTGCGTCTCCCGGGTGGGGGTGGCAGGGGACCTGGGACTGCTCCCAGACGCGAGCACTGGACGCTGCCTCCCTCCCCGCTTATCGCCAGAGCAAATGCCACGCTGCCTGTGGGACTGTGGGGCAGACCTGGTTCCAGGCACCTGGGGCAGGGGCTGTTCCAGAAACTGCAGATAAGGCTCCCACCTGGGCCCTTATCTCAGGGCATTCCTGCCCGTGACTCACCACCCCACAGCCCTCCCCAGGGGTGACCTTGGCTTTCCAAATTCCCAGGAGGGGAGGGTGTCTCTGCAGGGGACCTAATGCTGGTCCCCAAGCTTTTTGCAGGACACCTTTTATCAAAAAGCCTTTTTAATCAGGCCCCAAAGGCAGGTCTGGGGTCCACAGGAAGGCGGGGTGCTTCCCAAGAGGTTGCAAAGGACCTTTCTCTGAGACAAGTGGGAGGGCTGGGGGGGTGGCCTGGGATGGGGCTTTTGGGGAATACAGCAGGGACCCTCTGGGGACAGATGTGCCACTGGGAGAGGAGACATGGCCCTGTGTGGGACCCCCCCCCCAGTCCCCATGGCATTCATCTGGCACAAGGCCACACATCTTGGGGGGGCCCCAGCTGGTGGGCATGGCTGGGGTGGGGCCTAAGGGAGGCCTATTAGCTCAGCATGGCCGCTGGGGACCCAGGTCCCACGACAAAGTGGGTCTCCTGTCCTCTCTCCCATGTCTGCCCTGCAGAGACCTGCAGGGGTTTAGGGGGACGTGGGTTCCCCCATCTTGTCTGGCAGGAGCCAACTCTGGTAGGCCAGGGGCTGGTCTGCCCCCGGCTCTCCATGAGGTCCCCAAGCCCTCGACCTGCATTCACACCTTGACCTCGTCATCCTCCTCAGCATCTGCAAACGCAAAGGTGTGGGCCTGTACTGTGCTGGGCACGGGGGCCCTCCACTCCTCCTCTAGGCTCTCCCAGGAGCCCCGGGCCTGGGGCAGCACCTCCACCAGCTCCCGGCGGGCATCCATTTCGGTGTAGTGGCGGCTGCCCCCCCATCCCGCTCCCCAACGCCTGCCCAGGGCCATGTCGGCAGGTCCCCGGGGACCCTCTCCCAGTGGGTTGGCCCTCACTTCAGCCACTGGGCCCAGCTTAGCAGTCACCCCATTGGGGAAATGTCCATGAGACAGAGGACTTACAGTGGGGTTAGGTGCTGGGGGGTTTGTGGCAGGTGCTGGGGGGTTTGTGGCAGGTTCTGGGGGCTTTGTGGCAGCGCCTGGAGGGTTTGTGGCAGGTCCTGCGGGGCTTGTGGCAGCGCCTGGGGTCTCAGCTGCAGGGGAATCGGAGAGGCTCATGACCCCTAGAAGCTCACTGAGGAGAGAGGGCCCAAGGTCAAGGTCAAGGCGGAAGGACAAGAGGGAGTCAGAGCGGCGAAGCTCAGGCTCAGCGGGGAAGGAGCTGTCTCGGTCTCGGTCTGGGTTGCTGGGCTTTTCCAGGCGGGGCAGACGGGAGATGGTGCAGAATCCCGAGTCCAGGCCTAGAGGAGAAATGGAAGCAGGTCAGAGCTGGGAGCAGGACGCGGGGAGGGAGGGCCAGGAGGATGAGCCCTGGCTGGCTGTGTGGCCTCTAGTAAGTCACTCCCCACTCTGTCCTGTTTCACCCCTCTTCCCGATATGGGGGAGCCCTTGGTCTCCTGCCATCTTGGGAACTGAAGATGGTCTTGCTCCCTGTTCCCAGTACGCGGAAGAAAACAGGCTGTTTGGGGAAAGAAAGGTTTTGCCCAAGGCCACAGCAGAAGGGTGGCGCTCCGATCTCCTGACTCTTGGGCCCAATGTGAACTTAGCCACGGTCCCCAGGTACCCTGCTATGACACTGGCAAACGGCAGCAGGTGAACCCACACCAGGAGGCTGGTTTGTGGACACAGGATGGAACCAGCAGCCCGCGGGTGACTGCATGGACCTCACAGGCTTTAAGGACCGGCACATGCCCTTCAAAGGTCAACTGGTGGAGCCCCTGCCTCCAGCACTTGAGCATGAGGGTTCGTGTGGACCAGTCCTTGGTGGGGTTCAGAGCAGCACCCCCACCAACAGGCAAAGCCACGGGCAAGGCATGGCCACCAGGTGGCAGCAGGGGTCCACGCTTCCCAGGTGAGCGGGTCTTGCAGCGTGGCACTTCCGTGAGAGCAGTTTTGCAAATTCATCAAGTTACAGGAATTTTGGTTTAAGTAACATTGATGGCTCAAGTGTCCTGAGCATCTACTATGTGCCAGCTCTCATTTCACCTGGCACATGGATGATTTCACTGAATCCCAGCCACACTGCCAAGGGACTCATTAGATGGGCAAGGACTTGAACTTAGGTCAGTGGACTTCCTAGGAGTCAGGCAGAAACAGGTTCTCAGCCTCTCCACGACACCATTTTGACAGTAGGGGGCTGCTTTAGTTGAAAGGGGAAAGAAAGGGTAGATAGGCCCAACCAGGGTCCAGAGAGGGAGAAGGGCTTGTCAGAGTCACACAGCAAGCAAGGGGCAGTTGGAACTGAAAGTGCTTCTCCCTCTGGACCAGTGTGTGTGTGTGTGTGGGGGGGTAGCAAGTCGGTTCCCACCACCTTAGTCCTCCCCACCCTGGGAAAAGGGCTCACTTGGAAGTCTTGGTCAGAGCCAACAACCTTCTGGGCCTCTGCATTAGAAAAGGGCAGATAGAGCCAAGAATGGTGGTGTACCCTGTAATCCCAGTGACTTGGGAGGCTGAGGAAGGAGGATCTCAAGTTCAAGGCCAGCCTCAGCAACATAGTGAGGCACTAAGCAACTCAGTGAGACCCTGTCTCAAAATTTAAAAAATTAAAAGGGCTAGAGATGCAGCTCAGTGGTTAAGCTCCCCTGGGTTCAATCCCTGGTGCCAAAGAGAGAGAGAGAGAGAAGGGGCAGTTTACCCAGGATCTCACCGTAACTGGAGCGGCCATCTGCGGAGCCCGTGGGGCTGCCATCGAAGCTGAGCTTGCCCACCACCAGGCTGTCGTAGGTGGCCTGGTTGAGCTGGGGCAGGGAGATGGCGTTCTTGATGATGGGGGAGATGGCAGGGGGAGCCGGCGAGGGCGCTGGAGGGGATGCCATCCTTCGGGGTGGCACCCCAACCCTCCGCACCTGCTGGAGCTTTCTGGCTAGGAAGCTGCGCGGTGAGCGGTGGGTGCCCCCAGAGCTGCCACCATGGTTGCTGAGGAAGGAGGTGTCACCGAAGACGTCCCCGCCTCGGCCCACGTGCATGGTGTGGCGGAAGTCCCCGAGCGGGGGGCTGATCATGTCTGCAGTGAGCCGCCTCTTTCCCTGGGAGCTGGACACCCAGCCCACGGGCGAGAGCTTGCCCAGGCTCATGGTGGGGGCTCCTCCGCCCCCCTGGGGGCCAGGCATGGGCTCTGGCAGCTCAGGGCAGCTGGTCCATGCCCACCGGGGGCTGGGGAGGCCGGTGGGCTGGGCTCAGGGCCCCCTTCTCAGCCCCCCTCTCAATGGCAGGGGGTGGCCCTTGGCCCTGGGAGTCCACACTCTCCCAAGCCCTGGGGGAGCAGCTGCAGACGGTCCCGTTTGGTCCAGGAGCAAAGAAGGCACAGACCTGGCCTCAAAGGTGGGCGGTCCCTCTCCTGCTCAGGGGTGGAGACCTGGAAGGAGGACAGAGGACAGTAATGCAATGTGACAATGTGACGGGAGGCCTGGTGCAGAGGAGGAAATCCTGGGTCCAAACAACGGCCCAGAAAACAAACGACAACTCCCCACAACATGGATGGAGGTCACTGACCCAAGGCTGAGCCCAAAGGAGGGACACGCCGTGGGGGTCCACGCAGAGGAGTCTGAAATGCTGTGCTGACGCGGGTGCTGGTGCTCAGGGCCCAATCCCACCAAGCTACAGGCTGCCCGGTGCGCTGGCACAGTGGCCGCTGCCCAGGGCCGGAGGTGCCAGCGCCTGCCCTGCCGCAGTCACTAAACCCACACCACAGTGCCCAGCAAGGCACGGCATTCAAAGGGGGAAACTGAGGCAGGGGCCATGAGCTGTCTACACTGCAGGGAATGGTGCGCGGGGCCCATGTCCCAGCCCTGGAGCAAGACACCTCCTCCGGGGCTAAAATCTCTTCCACCCCCAGAAGTCAGGAGGAGGAGGCCCTGGCCCCTCGCAGGCTTCGGGAGCGCTAAAAAGCCGCCCAGAGGTCCCTCAGGACTTGTGCCTTCACCAAGCTTCCTGCAAAAGGGGTTCGTGGTCAGAGTGGCTTTTCCCAGCTGCCTCCTGAAGGCTCTGAGCAGGACCCAGCAAAGGGCTTGATGGGACAGTCCGTCAAACGGATGTAGGAGCCTCGGAGTCAGGGAACAAATTTTGGTGCCCCTCAGCATGTGCCCAAAGCTATTCCTTCCCCCCTTCCTGGGTCCCCACGACATCCTCCCCAGCTCCCCTTCTCTAAGCACCCTTTGAAGAGGCCCCTTCCCCGGAGGGTCACAGAAAGTCCCGCTGGAAGACGCCAGGATCCTGGTCTGACATCCGTCTTTCCCGTGGCCCAGCGGAGGCCAAGCCCGCTCCAGGTCGCATCCAGAGAGCCAGTCGGGACTTGAACCCAGGGCTCTGACTCACCTAAGCCCTGGGCTGGCCCGAGGGGGCCCGCCAGTCTGGTTTCCACAGACCCACTTCCGGGGAGGGCGGGCACCTGCCTGGATTTTCCTGCCTCCCTCTTCCTCCCTCCCAGCCCGGGCTCTGCACGTGGCAAGGGCCAAATCAAGACCAGTTTGATCACAGATCCCAGCGATAACCTCCAAGCTCAAGGGCCAACCCTCCCCCAGAGGGAGGCTGGGACTCAATGTCCTCACAGTGTGACCTTGGGCAAGTCACTTACCTCCACAGACTTAGGACCTCAGCTGATAAAGCTGATAACCATCTTTGGCGAGAACACCTAGACAGAGGCCCAAGTGCCCACCCCCTACCATTTTGTGCCACCTCTGAGCGTGAAAACCTAACACCGCCCTTCTAATGTTATTTGAAATTCAAAATAGGTTAAATAACAAGATAAAAGACAAAGAGGACACAGGACAAAGCTCGCTTTGTTTTCTGACTACATTCTATTCCCTTCCCACCATCTGACCCTCCCCCAGCCCTGGCTCCTCCCCCTGGGGGGGACTTCTGAATCATCCCTGGCCCTGGCACCCCCGGCACCGAGAAGTCCTCGCGGAATGTTTGCTGAAGTTGTGAAGCGCCCTGCAGTTGGCCAACCAGCCCATGACGTCATCCGGCTGTCCGCCAGCCCCGCCCGCCAGCCTGGGGGGGTGGCCTGCGCTACAGGGAGGGCGGGTCCCAAGGGGAAAGACCCGTCCAAAGTCACGTGGCAGGTACGAGGCAGGGGCCAGGTTCCCTGCTCCAGAGATTAAGGATGAAGTCTTTGGGGGAAAGGAACTAGCTGGTGGGGGAGAGGCCACCCTGGGAAATGTCATGTGGCGGAGTCGCAAGTGTCAGCCCTGTGGCCACACCCACCTCACTCCCACCCCGACTCCCAGCTTCTGGGGCAGCCCCTGTTCTCCCAGCAAAAGGGGCTCCTGCCCCCACTCAACCCCATGGTCATTCTGACTGGGAGACCAGCTTGCTTCCCAATCTTGCCAGGGTCCCACTTCCTGAATGCCTTGGGACATCTCCAAATAGTGCTCCTACATGTAACCCTGCCTGCTGCGGAGAGACCTGCCCTGCTCTGACGGTAGGCAGGGCGCTGCGCAGGGCACTGACCTTCCCAGGTGGAAAATGGAAACAGCATCCCAAGCAGGGTCCTCCCAAAGGAGGGGGGAGATGTGGAAAGGCCACTCCAGAAGCAGAGTGGCCCTGGGTTCAAATCTCACACCTTTAGGCTAACATCTTTCATCCTAGGGACACTTGGTGGCAGTCACTTGGCACTTGATGCTGATCACAGGCGTTGCTGGCCCTCAGGTGTGCCTCACCAGGTACTGGAGTAAGCAGGACACTGGGTATCCTGGTGGAAGTCCCTCCTATCGGCCACCCAGGAATACCACATACCCATTATGCAGATGAAAAAATGAGGCTCAGAAAGGAGAATGACTTACCTCAGGTCACAGAGCAAAAAAATAGTGTGTCTGGGCCTGGCTAGGAGCCTCCTGACCACAGGAAATGGCCAAGGTTGGGGTGAAGACTGCTGGGGAGCGGTGGTTTGCCAGGCTGCCCAGCACAGAGAGGGCAAGTGTGAGGGGGTAGGAGACTCAGCTCTGCAGATTCAGTGCCTGTGACCTGGGGAGAGTGGTCACCATGCAGCCTCAGTGTACCCAGAGGCCTCATATTCACCCTGCAGACTTCACTGGGGGCCTGGGCAGGTGGTCAGGGCTCACTACATAGTAAGGAACACCAGGACAAGTTTTGGGGCTGGGGGACAGGGACCACACACTAGGACAGGCCACAAGAGGTCCAGAGGAGGCCAGGGACTGTCTGACAGTGGAGGGCAATGGGCGGGGGCAGCAGCACTCTGGGGGTCACCAACAGGCTGCACCCTGTCCCTACCCCCACTCCCTGAGGCAGCGCCACGTCTCATCCTGAAGGCCACTGTTCCCTGCAGGAGCCCTCTCTCCAAGGGCGTCCTCGCACTGGGTGACCCTGCCAGACTGGCCTGCGTGTCCCGGGCTTGAATGGGGGCTCCCGGAAACAGGCTCTGGTGCCTGAGGAGGGTGAGGGGCTGGCATCTCCTGCCCCCCAAAGTTCAGGAGCTGAGGTGGAAGATAGGGAGACGGAGACTAGAAAGGGACAGCCAGCTGCCCGTGGTCAGCTGTGGGGGACCACTCCAAGCCGGGTAGAAGGGAACACCCTGGGCCCTTAGGGAGGAACCACCAAGGGGGAAGGAGAAACGCTTTTCTGGTCCCACCATCCCAAGATAGAGCCCAATCAGCCCCGGCCGCGAGTGAAACCGCGGCGGGATGGTGATTTCCCGCCAGCCTCGGCGCCTCTCTGAGCCTCAGTTTCCTAGTCTAGAAAATGGGCTTCAAACTTCGCGGGACTGGAATGGCTGGAGTAGGGCAAAAACAATCAGGAGGCAGGCGGAATGGGAAATCCGGGAAGGACTTACTATAAAACCTTCCCCTGGGGGACAGGGAGGGGAGAAGAGCAGGGTCGCCTTGGCCGGAGGGGAACCGGACGGGATGACCTCATCCGCTGCTCCAGCTTGGAATGCGGCGGCTGGGGAGGGGGCAGGGTGCCCGTCCGTCTGCCCGGACCCCACCAACTTCCCGCTCTCGGCGCTGGCCTGCGCCCAGGGGCCCGACGCCCCACGTTTCGCCCCTTTCCTCTCCCGGCGCGGGAGGCGCGCAGATGGCCCTCCGCGCGCCCCTCTCCTGGCAGCGCCTTTTGCCTCTCGCCGCTCCCATTCGCTGTCCCCCTTCTCCCGCCGGGAACAGGGCAAAAGCACCCGAAAACTCGAAGCGTCCCGGCCGCACCGCCGCAGCACCAGGGCCTTGGCATTGCCATTGGCACGGGACGCGCCTTCCGCGGCCGGGCTCAGTCCCCGCCCTCCCCGAGCGCCCAGAAGGGTGCAGGGTCCCGAGGCCGTCGCGGACCCAGGCGGGTCTTCGAGGCCCCGCGGGCCAGCGGCTCCTACCTCCTCTCGGCGAGCCCCGGGGCGAGGGTCCCAGGGCGGCTCGGCGACCGCAGCAGCGCGTCCCGGCGCGCAGCCCGGAGAGTCGCTGGGCCGGTCTGCGCCGCCCTGGCCGCGGGCTCCGCGGCTGGATCCGGGGGCGGGGGCGGGGTGTGGGCGCCTCCGCCCGCCCGCTGCGCCCGCCCCGCCGCGCCGCGCCCCCTCCCGGGCACTGTCCAAGCTGCCGCGGCCGCCAGAGCCCGGCCAGGCCCCGGCCCGCCGCCCCGGGGCAGGGCAGGGCGAGGGTGGGAATGTATAGGACGGAGGGGCGCTGCCCAGGGCAAGCCACTGGGCTCTCCTCTGCCCACCCTTCCCCACAGGCTCCCGGCGAGGCCTGGGGCATCCGGCTCGGCTCTGGACTCTCCAGCCACTCCCTGCCTTACTTTGGGGAGATGGAAGCTAGAATCCGAGTGCCAACGAGACCTCCTTAGACCTTGACTGGGGATGTCCACTCTCTTTGTCCTAACATGCGGCACCCTTCCACCCCATACAGGCCATGGGGGTGCCAGCAAGACAGGCATGTCCACACCGGGCACGAGCCCCTGGCAGGCCCCTTGTAGAGGTGTAGTGTGGTGGTCAAGCAGGGGACCTGGTGCCAGACAGCTTGGGTCCCTTTCTACCTGGCCAACTCCCTACCCTTCCAGTTTCCACCTCTGTAAACTGGGATCTTCAAAGCCAAAGCCGGTGGCAGATGTTTTTATGTTCCCTGCTCTGCGTGCCTAGGAAGTTTACTGAACAGGTAAATGAGGTCACTAC